TAAAAATGATAACTATCTGAAAATAAAAGTAGAAATTCAAGAAATAATCACTAACCGTTATCATTTTGCAAATAATGACATACTAATAAAAGTTCTTATTCCTATTATTGATGCTATTGGTCATTTTGAATCAAGAGATGCGACATTAGCTGACATTTTTAAAAAACTAATTAATATTCATCGTATTGTTTCTGCAGCAATTATTCCAATAGAAGGGTTCAAAAATCATGCCTTGGCGGCTATTGATAAACGAATGCATGAATTTTCCGATAATATATATTTTATTGCATTTTTTTGTCACCAAGTCATAAGCATATTGCAATATCAGAACGAATGTCGGGAGACTTAGTTGTCAGGTCGGGTATTTATTTAAATTTTGTTGCTGATAAGAATTCTAAATATTAATTACAGGAGGTACCATGAGTTACTAAACGATTTACTTGTGCTGCACAAGTTAATCGTCTAATAACCCATAGTACCTCTGTATGCATAAATACTAAATTCATTTACCTGCATATACTGTTTTGAATATTTTTTAGAGCATCCTTGGAGTTGGTGAAAACCTGGGGTTTTGATAAAAGGGAAATGACACTTTTACTTAAAGAGCTTATTGGTTATCAAAATGGTGATACACCTTTTGATAATCTAAGAAATATTGAGAATATTAATCCTAGAAATTTCTGGACTAAGTTCTCTAGAGGTTCTCCACTTCTCTGGCGTTTTGCTATAAAAGTATTCGCAATCGTTCCACATACAGCAGCCATCGAACGTTTATTCTCTAGTCTGGGACTAGTGAAAACAAAATTACGAAATATAATGTCCTCCAATTTAACCAGAATGCTTGGAATGCTTCGTCATGACCTTCAACAAGGTTTACCTGAAGTACTAAAAAAAAGACCTAAAGTGAATGATCAAGATTTTGAAGATTTTATGAATAGTGATGTTGAAAATGCTGATGTTGACCCCTATTTCGAAGAAGAATTAGATGAAGAGTTTTTACAAATTAGCATTGATGAAGTAAATATGGAGGTGAAC